AGAAGGCAGGCGGTTCAAACCCACCAGCCACTCTTCAGAAGGAAGGTTGGGCAATCTACTTCCATAGTGATACCACCTCGAAAACCCAAGGAGGGGTCACTATGAGTCAGGTCTGACTCGACGGCACATAACAACTACAACATATACATATGTGTATATATAGATATACACACATACATATACATACACATAAATACATACATACACGGGAGCTCTGGTGAGATAATGCCTAAGGCATCTGACTGCTAACCAAAAGAGAAGGCTGGCGGTTCAAACTCACCAGCCACTCCTCGGAAGGAAGACTGGGCAGAAACCAGTTTCTACTGCCTCAGAAACCCAAGGAGGGGTCACTACAAGTCAGATCTGACATGATGGCAGTGAATTTGAGCATACACACTCACACACATACACCAAAGATCACACATAAACCAAAGATTATTAGTGCTTACCAGGGGTAGGAGGGAGGAGGGAGGAAAGGGGAAGATTTTGTTTGTAGGGAACTGAGTTAATGCTAATGGTGGTGGGATATTTTGGAAAAGGATAGCAATAACGGTGGCATAACATGAAAAATGTCATCCATGGCCCTGACTGGAAATATGGAAGTTGTTATGTTGGTGAATGTCTTGGTATATATGTTTTCACCACAAATAAAAGAAAGAAAAAAAACCATTAGGCTAGTGCCCAATGAACATGCTAGTTATGATATCCTGCCCTCCTGCCCCCTGGAGGCAGGTAGAGGTTATGATCAACCACAGGATTAGTACTTATGACAGCAACCTACAGAATTCTTAGGGAGTTGAGGTTGGACCTATTCACCTTATAATTGATGGTAAATATTCTCTTAACTAAAGCAGTGAGGGCAGCTTAACAATCCCAGGTAAACCTAAGGTCAACAGGCATAGGTTCTCATCCCTTGGTTTAGGAATGCCTGAGGTAAACAAAGAGCACCGGTTTTCCTTGGCCATGGCTGCTGAAAGGTCCAGTCTGTTTCACCACCGGGAAAGCTATACACACTGGGCTACCTTCCTTGGTCCTCAAAATTGCAGTAGCAAAGATCACTGTGCTTGAGAGCTTTACCAAGAAAACAAGGCCCTTTTCACTCACTCATGTGTAAAGTTCAGGAAAAGTGAGAGCAACAAAGGTTGCTAAGGAAGACCAGGGAGATTTGTGGTCATGAAAACTTGTATGGAAGGAGATGAGGGAAACAGTAGAAGATACAATCTGGGAAAGGAGAGAGTTTTTGGGTCCGAGGCTGTATATAGTAACCCTAACATTGAAAAAAACTTAAAAGAGTTTTCTTACAACCAGGAAGGATTTCTGGAGATAGCATTTATCTTAAATGAAAAAATGAGGGAACTTCTGTTCAATTTCAAAGTGCCTGGCTATGAGGGACTCAAGGCTATAGGGCACTATTCTACCCTGAATCTACTGGAACAGCATCTAGCTCAATGTCCACTGAACCCATGAATCCCGCATGCCAAATATATTATGAAACAACGTATGTGTATCAGAAAGATGTTTAAATTCTATAAACATGTGAATTCAGCTTAATTTTATAAGAAGGACTTACAGCAATCAAAATTTAGAATCTCACTTAAGCTAACAAATGTTTACTGTTTAAGACAGAACTACAAGGAAAACCCTAATCAATGAAGTAGAAACTCATATTTTTCTTTAGCATTGTTGTTGTTGCTGTTGTTGTTGTTTGCCGTCGAGTCGGCCCCGACTCACAGCGACCCCTCCTTGGGTTTCCGAGGCAGTATCACTATGGAAGTAGGACTGCCCAACCTTCCTTCCGAGGAGTGGCTGGTGGGTTTGAACTGCCAGCCTTCTGGTGAGCAGTCAAGTGCCTTAGGCACTATGCTACCAGAGCTTCTTTAGCATTATTAATCATGTATCTTCGCCTGAACTTCCTAGAAAGGACATTTTGTATGTGGATCAAGTGACTTGGGACTAGAGTAGCTTGATGAATCAGCAAACAACCTAAGCAACATAATCTTACAGCCAAGCTGCCTCAAAAAAAAAAAAAAAAAAACCCAACCTGATCTATCTCAACTACCATCAATAGCATTACATTAATCTCCTTACCTTTCACTACTTCGGCCACATTACAGGTGGGATCAATGCTTCCAATGTGTTTAGGCTGAGCAGGATTAGTGTCACCACCAAATAGAAGTGCTAAACAAACACAAAAGGGAAGGGACAGAATTGAAAAATAGAAAAGAAACACTGGGATTTATGAATTTTGAAAAGGATTCTCTTATTTTTAAGAATTGTTTGAGCATTCACAGCAACTGAGAGTAATACAATACAACTGACAAGAAATGACCTCTCCCTGACAACAAGGGGGGGGGGATACTTTTGAAGGCAGTTACAGTTAGCAGGTCCTAAAGCAGTTGCCAAGGAGCTCTGGTAGCAGAATGCCTAAGGCACTTGACTGCTAACCAGAAGGCTGGTGGTTCAAACTCAGCAGCTACTTCTCACTACTTCCATAGTGATATCGTCTTGGAAGCCCAAGGAGGGGTTGCTATGAGTCGGGTCCGACTTGATGGCACATAACAACAATAACAAAGCAGTTGCCAAGAGTCTAATCATTTGTCCCCCACTCAGTATGACCTGGGTGAAGAAACCTACTTCCATCCCTCATCACATTTAGCCACCTTCTCAATATTTCTCCAGACATTTAGTCTGCGATTCAGTAAATGTTGTTCAAATGTCTTTAAAAATATAACCAAATAACCTAACAATAGACAAAATTTACAAAATTTTATTTTTGAAAAATATCCATAAATAGGCCCAAAGGAAAAAGTAATTGGAATCTAAATGTTTATAGGACTGGGTATTGTTATTATTATTAGTTGGTGTTAATTTGGCTCCAACTAATTAGACCTTACGTGTGACAGAAGGAAACACTGCCCAGTGCTGCGAAATCCTTACAACCGTTGGTCTGTGTCAGTCCATCTCTTGGAAGGTTTCCTTCATTTTCATTGGCCCTCTACTCTAACAAACATTTATAGGGACACTTATATTTAAATTGGGCCAAAATTCTCTACAAAAAGAGACTGCCTAAATAAAGTCGAGATTTTAATTTTGAAAAATGACAAAGTGGGCATGAGGCCACTATATAAAGATTCAACCAATAAAGTGGCAGAAAAACAGAGGTGTACAAGCTTAACCAACCATCTAAACACATGAATGTACATATGCATACACACACATTTAGATCAGAAAGAAATTATGGTTACTTAAGTAGTTTACTTAAGTAGTGTTTAAGTTCTTTTTCTCCTGTAAATTTCCATATGTTTCTATTTTTCAAAGCTCTACATTTAGAACAAGCCTACACTTAATAGTTATATAACATTTATTTGTCTAAATCAATCAAAATAGTAAAATAAAGATGCTCGGTCGATTTTCTGACTCAGCAAAGAGGATGAATTCATCTCTAAGCATGCTGATGCTTTGTCATAAGAACTATAAAAACATCCAAAAAGACAATGCTGAAAACGAGCCCCAAAATTTTTTGTGGAGAGAATTTTGTTTTTCTCTTATCTGTTTATCAGCCTACAGAACAGAATCTCTATGGTATAAAATTCTCAACATAGTATTATGGTCTGACAATCTCACTTACGATCAATGTGAAATAAAAAATCAATCACTCATATTGCCAACATGCCAATTCAATTTCCCTAATATCAGTACTTTTAAAGCCAAAAAGAAAAGCACATAGCACTGGGGATCAAGAACAGAACATCCTCTCAGAAACACATGAAAGTCAGTCCTCAGAGATGCAGGCAGGGCTGCCTTTTAAGCCAGCTTGCCCCCACCAGGAGTGTAACAGCAGGGGGTTAAAAGGCAGGCACCATCCTGTCTCCTGACATGCATAACAAAAGCCTTCCAAGGATTTCTCTTACCAAAGAAAAAGACTGTATTTTTACAGAAATAACATGCGCGTTATATGTGGTTTCTTCCCCCAAAACAAACCACACAACTTCCTCGCACATTAGTTTTCTACATGCGTGTATGTATTATTCCCATGAGTGCATTCTATGTAGAAAATACAGTAATGAACAGCTTTTTAATATATAAGATTCACTTAGGATAAACTGAACTATAAATGAAATTTCTACTGCCAAAAATTCAGGCCAATATACTAAAAGTGAATCAACAGAAAAACATTTCCAAGAAATCACCCCAGTTACCTTTCAAAATGGAAAAACAAAAACCAACTCACTGTGTTGGTTAATAAGCATGCGGAAAGAGATGCGGTTAGTGTAAAATCGATCCAGAAAATACTGGATGTTACTGCTAATGAAAGGATCGAACCCAAACTTCTCCTTGTACTCAATCACTCCTTGTGCCATTGTAGGAACCACATCATTGTGTCTGTTTCGGACTTTAAGCAGAACTTGTAGAAAGCTGTGTGGGAGAGAAAAACAAAAAGCAATCAATCTTTCTGCCTTGTGGGCTGCTGCACAGATTTCCCGATTCCATCCTAGGACTGTTTATCTGTTGGCATCACTATAGGTAGAGGCATCCTATTATCATATACATACTAAAAGGACCTGCTGACAAGAAATTAAAGCATTACCCCAAGTCATGTTTTTAATTTTTATTTTAATTTTAATATACACAGCAAAGCCTGCTCCCATTCTAGTTTCTAGATAATGATCAGTGACATTGGTTACATTCCTCACACCATGTCAACATTCTCATTATTTCTGTTCTAATTGTTTCACTTCTGTTTAATCTTCCTGCTCCCTAACCTTCTCATCCATGCTTTAAGATAGCTGTTGATCCTTTGGTCTTACATAATTTTTTTCTAAAGTAACACAATACTCAAGGGTGACAATCTTTACTCTTTGTGCTAAATTGCTACTCAGTTTAAAGGGGATTTCAGGTGACAGTTTCCATTCAAGGTTTGAAGAGCAACTCAGGGCCATAGTGCTGGGGACTCATCCAGTCTCAAGAGGTCCAGTAAGTCTGGATTCTTTAAGCATTTGAAGTTCTGTTCCACATTTCTCTCCCTTTTGATCAGGATCCATCTATTGTGCTCCTGATCAGAACCTTCATGAGTGGTAGCCACACACCATCTACTTCTTCTGGTCCTGTACTCAAGTTCCTTCTCTGATTCTTGGGTTTTCTTTTTTCTCTTTTGTTCCAAATGAACAAAGATGAGTAGCTGTATCTTAAATGGCTGCTTGCAAGCTTTTAGGACCCCAGAAAATACTCACCATACTGGGAGGTAGTACATAAACTTTAAGAGCTACATTGTGCCAATTGATTGGATCGTCCCACAAGACCATGGTCCCAAGCTACCAAACCAAAAGGACTAATCCCATGAGGTGATTGGTTATGCCTAATTATTATCCTAGGTTTTTCCTTGAAACTTTCAACAAAATCTCTCCTTTCAGAAATGCAAAAAGTAATGGTGCCAATAAAGAAGATAAAGAAGAAGAAACCTCAAATACCTTTTTTGAAACCCAATGACTTTTTGAATAAGCGAATATATTTATAAATGACTCTACATTTCTGATATGAGGACATTCCAAAAACATCTCCAAAGACTTATTGTTATTGTAGTTATTTGCCGT